GCCGGGCCGAATCGTGTGGCTGGCGGGCCGGATCCGGCCCCCGGGCCGCATTTTGCCCAGCCCTGGCTTGCAGGGAACCCTGCCTGTCACTCATCCTATGGCCACTAAAATGTGTGTGGGGGGGGAGGAAGGCAAAAAGTGAGGGGGGGCATGGCCGCAGTGCCCCTGATTTCACTGAGGGCATGGCCGGGGGGACTTGCTTGTTTGTCCCTGAGTCCCATTTCAGATCATCCAGTTGGTGGAAATCTTGATAACAACATAGAGGGTCAAGTTGCATATCCCTTGAGAGCCCTTTTCTCCCGCAAACCCCACGGTGTGGGGGGGGAGGAAGGCAAAAAGTGAGGGGGGGCATGGCCGCAGTGCCCCTGATTTCACTGAGGGCATGGCCGGGGGGACTTGCTTGTTTGTCCCTGAGTCCCATTTCAGATCATCCAGTTGGTGGAAATCTTGATAACAACATAGAGGGTCAAGTTGCATATCCCTTGAGAGCCCTTTTCTCCCGCAAACCCCACGGTCCCAAATGTGGGCCTAGAACAAGGATGTGGCTATAGATTCGGGGGGAAAAGTTTTAGAGTTTTGGGGGAGGTTTTTTTGGATCATGAAACTTTTAACACGGGGGTTTCTGCGCATTAAACAAGAAATCTCGGGTAGTTAGCCAGGACAGGCTGGACTGAAAAACACTGATTTCTTTCCATGGCCTCTTCCCGTAGGGCACCAGGATTAGATAATCCATAGCAGGGCCAGGTCTGGCTGGGGGAGCCGCATCTCCAAACAAGGCCGGCGGCTGGCCAAACATGCGGTGAGCATCTGGGGCTTTGCATGTGGGCAGCTGATTTGCAGAAGCAGGGTTGGTTGGGGAGTGCAAACTGTTTCTCGCATAATTGCCGGGATCGGTCCATCTCCCAAGGTACCACACGAGAAGGGAGAGGTGGAGGAGGGATGCTTTTAGCACAGTGGTGTGGGGGCTACCTGGAAGGCCGGCGGCTGGCCAAACATGCGGTGAGCATCTGGGGCTTTGCATGTGGGCAGCTGATTTGCAGAAGCAGGGTTGGTTGGGGAGTGCAAACTGTTTCTCGCATAATTGCCGGGATCGGTCCATCTCCCAAGGTACCACACGAGAA